GCACTACTGGCACTGTCCACACAGCTGGAAAGGACCCCATGGATGAGGGGGAGGTAGGTAAGGCAATCCTGGGGGCCTGCAGCATATGGCTCGCACAGTGTTCGGCTCCTGGCCACACTGAAATTGGACAGCCCTGACTGAGACCGTATCTGTTTCCCTCCCCAATATGAAGGAAGGCACTTTGGATCTGAAAGCTTGTCTAACATCTCTCTCGACCATAAAGATGGTCTAATAAAAGATATCTGCCCAACCCCCTTGCTTTCTATTCATTTCCTGGATAATCACAGCTACAACATTGCAACTCGTGTAAAATAAACACAGACAATCCCTATCCTTAAAGCCCTTAAGAACTGACATAGGAGTGGGAGTCAAAACTCCTGGGTTTTATTTCTAGCCTCTAAGTTCTGTGCCTTGGCTCATCCCTCAATAAAACATAGCTAATACCTACAGCACAGCATATTTGTAAAGATCTGGGAAGGCAAGACAGTAGGAGATGCACAAACCCTGTTTTTAGTCTGAATAATTGCTCCCTATGACATTATGCAGAGGAGTTCTGGATGCCCCAGGCAAGCTTTGCAGGTGAACAGGGAAAAGTGACAACTCTTCTCTCTCCATACATTAGAAGACAAAAATTCCTGCATCAGTTTAAGATTCAAATTTCTATGGTAACAGCTGCAATGGAAAAGATCCAAGTAGGATTTACTGTAGTAAAACTACTTAGCCAAGAACTATCAGTGGGGAAGAGGGCTGAGGGGAAGAGACAGAGCATAGCTTTGAAAGAAATTAATTCCCTTGGGACAGCTCCAGCAGACAACAGGAGATGACAACTCAACAGCTCACTGTTTTTGACAACTAACCAGTCTGACTAGTGGAAAGCAACTTTGTTTTCCAGTGTAAGGGCTGTTTCCTTCTTTTCACCTACTGTTGAAGCATGCGGTGTTCCTCCTCATTTTGGGAACTAACTAAGCTGCACATACTATATCACTGCACGCTTTTCTAGGTAAGTGGATGAGTATGTTGGGATAGTAACCTACGGAACCAGACAGAATCTATCTGCTCTACTTAATTCAAATACACTGTATGCAAGTACTACCCTAGGCTACGAAGAAGACTCTTTAGAGTGGAACTATTAATGCTTTGAGCACGTACTGTGTAAATGCATTTAATTCCTGACACTTCATTATTATACCTCTCCCCTACCACCTTTAAATGCTCAAAGGAAGTTGGGTGCATTTGTACAAAGCCAAAGGCTTCAGGAGCCCTAATCCACACCCTAACAGAAGGAATAGTTCTTCTGTCAGCCACATCCACCCATACAATGATTATGTTACAACGGTCACTTCGTTAGCACAGAATGTACTGGTGTCTTTTCCAGGCAGGAAGACAGCTGATGTAAGCAGGGCAGGGAAGAAAGAAAAGAGTTGTGGGCCAAATTTTACCAACAGGTTAGGACTGGGATAAATCTGGTCCTGTATACATTATTTAAAGAGTGAATAGGTAGTCTCACATGACACTGGACAGGAGTAAAATCTCAGCTCCAAGGGGGTAAGACTGCACTGCATAACAACAAAACCACTTTGTAGTTCTCTGGCACATTTTAATACAGGATACAAAAAGGTGATTTTAACATAATGCTAAGTAAAGTCTCAGCAGGCAGGTAAAGATATTACGCCACAAATGGTTTGAGCGCCTAAAACAGTCAAAGGCATGAACAAAATACAAAAAAGAATACAAACCAGCCTAGAATTTCAAGTACAATGGGGCAGGAGCCACCTTCCCCACTCTCATCTATAAACCACAAAAACACGCATCTGCAACAGGAATCCTGCTTTAGCATTCAGGAACTGCCCAAACTAGCAAAGGCAAGGCACTGGTTTAAAGGTATCCTTATTTTCCAGCTGCCCTGGGATGAAATGTATTGTGTTGTTTGGATGCTTAAATGATGCAGAATATGAAAGGTCCTCCCTAAGAGTGTGTCTGTCAGCCTGGAGTTTGTGCCTATTCATTTCTTTCTGAGAAAAATGCACGAAGCACTGATTTGTGAGACAAACAGGATGCTTGGCTAGATGAACCAGTGTGGTGTGAGCCAGTATGGTTCTTAGGGTCTTTCCAATTCCTCTTGCTAACACAGCTCTGACATCACAGACAATTATGAAGTTAAAATAACAACAACAATCATCATCCACTTAGTAATCCACAGCACTCCTGCTTCACATACCTCAGGCTACAATAGCAGGTGCCTGCTTTCAGTTCCCATACCATTGCCAGAAGTAAAGAGACATGGCAGACTATGAACCCTGCTCCAAGAAGCAACTGAATACTTCAGTCCAATGGGATCAAAAGACTACTGCACATGGCAAGGGACAAGCCAAGGAAGAAAGTGGTGATGGAAAGAAGTAGCATTCCCTGACAAAAGGAGGGAAGGAGAAGCACAGCCTCCATCCAGTTTGATGGACTCCCTCTCCCCAAGTTTGGTAAGATCTTCAGTACTCTTAGCCCTGTTACTAGCTGTACATAAGCAGCAAGCTTGAGGTGCATGCCCTTCCATGTGCACTTGAGACAGCTGTGGAAAACCAGTCCCACCTGCCAAACTGAAAAGGCAGTGCCCTTTGCCAACAGGGCACAAGAAAATGGATAAAGGATTTCTTCCATTGGATTCTAGAGCCAAAGCATGTCGAAGACTATGGCTCATTCTGAATCTGAGACCTCAACCAATGTTACAAAACACTTTTTTAAGCTCTTGTCTCTGTATTTCTATTCTTGTAGAGAGGCAGAGGAGTTGTGTGCTCTGGATGAGCTATTTACTTATAGACTTAAAAATAAATCCATATGGAGTGAACATGAGGTGTTCCCAAACCTGCCAAGATAACTGAAGGACAGAAATCAGAGGAATTCAAGCGTTCAGATACAGAATTTACTCTACTTCATCAACTACTCCTGTCAAGCCCACTTTAGTGCGTTCAAAAACCATAGAGACTGTTCCTAATAAGATACTCATATAGGAACCTTGCTAAACTATCCCATTTAGTAGTTTGAAATATACTGGAGAAAGAAAAATCTTCAATGTCTTTTGATGCTACTGTTTAATCTCATGGTTGCAATGGTTTTCATAGGCCCCATGGATTTAATGAAGCAAAGACATCAACTTCAAAATGCGTGGCATCCTGGAGAAGCTCACACAGAAGCCAACGAGAACTTTCAGAATAAGTTGTCAAATTCTTACTTCATAACGACAGGTACATCCTACCCTACACTTGAGGGACATGTAGAACAGGTTCACATCCAGCACATTCTGTCCCTTCCAGAAATCCAAATACCAAGGACGCGTTTAGGAACTCAACAGAGGACGTGCTTGTTTTCAGCATCTCAGACAGCTACCGGCAGCTGAAAAAAAGAATCAGCACTTTACAGAAATGGAGGAAGCAGACTGTACTTTGTCAGAAAACTCTTGTAGTATGGAATTGATATTTTCTGAAACTTTCGAAGTCAACTCATGCCTGAAAAAAGGAACGGTTTGCAGATAGGACTAAGCAGACTGATAATTGATCCATTTTGATGGTCTCTGGATCAGGGAGAATGTTACTCAAATGGAGTACTTAGAGATAGCTCAACAAAAACCAGTATGATGCACAAGAGTTAAACAAGACTGAACTAATGAGAGATACTTTCTCCATGTATGGTAGGGAAGGGAAGAAAAGGACTTTCAGGTGACTTCTCCCTTGCACTGTAGTAGCTAAAATCCTGACCAAATTCAGGAAAAAGTTGCATAGGATCAATCTTCTTAATCTACTATTGGTAAAACTCTGGTTCCTACTATTATTGGTGATGGTAATGGTAAATACCATCAGGCTGAGATATTTGTTGTGTCTGATTGAATAGAACTGGGGTTTTTCAACACGGGATTTGTACTGATGTGACTGAATGGATCCAGATTAACTAATGTATCTATGCACACTGTTCATGCAGCTTAAAACAAGTCTATTGCTGGACACCATTCTAAGATGCAAAACTAGCAAGTCTGGCATGAAGGGGCAGCTAGTACATTTCCTTTTTGTTTTCATCAACATGATACACCCCTAAATCTGTCATGTTTAGAGCAACAGCCAAACATCTGGGAATTGTGTTCTGAAGTGCCACCCTTCTCGTTACTTTGAAGCAAAACAATATTCGTGCTATCCTGCTTGCCTCTGGTGATCATGACAACAGCCATAATAATGGGGGGGTTGTTTGTATTTTTTCAAAAACATGCTACAGTAAGAGAAGTTTGCTTATAAGTATTCTGGGGGTAAAAGCTACTGGTGAGCCATGCAAAAACATGGAAGTAGAATGGAAAGGAGATAATTGCGAATTTTCCTGAATTAAAACAGGTAAGTTTTATGGAGGGACTATGAAAGTGTGTGTCAAGAGGTACTTCTAGAAAGCTAGATCATATCCAAGCCCAAATTTACAGCAGACTATAAGGCAAGAACCCAATTACAAAGCTCCCTACTGCGTCTACTTATAGACAAAATTCAAGTGCAATTGCAGGTTTGTATTCTTAAAATGAGCCAAAGGAGAGCAGTCAAGTTGCGTGTCAAGTACTGAACAAACAGCACATGACTAAGTGCAGAGGAGACAAAAAATAAATAAATCAGGAAAATCAAGTAATGTGCTTTTGCTTCTTTACCAGAGGCCATTAATCACACCATACTCTGCGTCTCTGCCAGCCAGTCCCACAAAACTACCCATGAAGTTAAGCAGGTGTACCAAACTGACAAGCAGCAACATGTATCCTCCTTTGTTTAAGTGTTAGTAAGAACTAGGGAATGCGAGTGCTGATTAAAATCACACATTGTGGGCAACGGCTGTGTCGGTTCAGTTCTTCAGAAGTGCTTATATAAGGATAGATGCACTAACACGTTACACCTGTACCCAAGAATTATATTTTTAAAAAGGAAGTTCTGTTTCACGAACTTTGCTTTTGCAAGGTTGGGTTGTAACAAAACACGGAGAATTCCACATCAATTCACCAAAAATAATTTATTTATGTGAAATTGATTTGGATATTGGTCAGAATCAAAGCACTCCCCATCTGTACTGCTTGAGGAAATGCATAGCACGAGAGGGCCCACGATAAATATATTTAAAGACTTAGACAGAAGAAAGAATGTGTAGCCAGCCAAGTTCTAACCACAAAACAGACCATGCTCCAAGAACACATGTGAACAGGAGTTAGTGTGTAGATGGAGCCTTGGCAGCCTATTTGATATTTTTGCAAAAGGGAACACTTCACGTCAACTGTACTGATTTACACTAAAATCTTCAAATGTTTGTTTCCATAAAAATGTATTTGGCCCCTGGATGGTTAACCAAAATGTTTATCTGGGATTGGAATCCAAAACCTCAAAATTTTCAGATGAACACACAGACTGCCACCATCCATTTCAAACATGAAATTCAAGCAGTTTGCTTCCGTTGGAAAACTGACTAATGCCAAGCTTGGGATTTGAACAACTAACTGAAGGCTGCAATCTTGCAATAAACTGAGGGCACATATCAGGTCCCCAGTCTCTCATGATCACTCCTATTTATAATGGCAAAAATTTGAACAAGAGGACAAAGTCCTCCTAGTATATCCCTAGTATGATTAACTGCAAATTCTCCTCAATTACTGAAGTTTGATGGTTAAGTGAAAGAAGAGAAAAGGAGATCTGAAAGCAGAAATCATCCATAAAGAGGAAGCAAACTTGATGAAAAACAGTAGAACAGTGCAACTGCATAATCCCAGGAAATGAAGTTGTGAAACTGGTTGGCATAGCAAGGAGTAACAAACAATCACTGGGCAACAACTGACTACAGAGAAACTGCAAGACACTAACAATGCTCCACTCATCACAACCACCATTTGCATTCGTAAGTTTAAAAAAAAAAAATTACTGTACATTATGTTTAAAAAAAGACAAAATTTCTACTTGAAAAAGTCCTTTTCAAGGTTTCAGTTATTTAAGAAATTTTCCATCCTGGCAACAATGATTAATTGGACTAAATATTTCACTGAAGTCTTATTCAAATGAATTTTTTGGAGCCAACAGGAGTTATCTACAGGCAGAAAATGGGGGGGGGGGGGGGTGAGGGAAACATTGCACAGCTGAGCAACTGGATCATTGATCTGGTTCAGGAGGTGACTGGCAAACAGCTTAATTAACAGATAAATGACAGATGTTAGCTGCATTTCTTAATACACAACTAGAAGCTGCTCAGATACAAATGTAGCAAGTGTCACATAAAAAAGCTATGTAAAATAGAATTACTTGTTTTTGTAGCTGGCTTACCTCTATTTTTCTAATAAACTATGTTGCCAATTATGAACCATGGAATCTGAAGTTCTCTTTTCTCCTAAAGAGCCAGGGAAGCACGGGCAAGAGCTGCACAGGTTTCCTTATGCTGCCTTGCTAATGTACTACAAAAGTCTGCAAGGACCGTGTCAAAGGACAAGCTCATTTCATTCAATCCCGGATCTTCTCTGCCAGGCCTGGACAACCGAGATACAGATAACTGTTCAAGGAAAACTGAACAGTGATGGTGCTTCTTTCAGAAAGGTCATCAGACAAACATTAGATACCCACAGTGATGACTTTTGGGCGGTGTCCATCAGCTATAGATTCATAAAGACAACTTGGTACTGAAAGTATCTGCATCTCATTCCTGATCCCAAAGCCATCCAAGTAATCTTGTGGACTAAATATCTTCTATGCAGATGTTCATGATAAAGTATTACTTCACTATTCTATAATATTTGACTACTAAAATGTTCTGACATTTCAATCCAATTTTCCAGACTTCAGTAATAATTAAAAAACAGATCAAGTATGCAGAAATAGAGAAATAATCTAAATATGAAATATATTAGCAGAGGGCAGCAGAGGTTAATCTGTGGAAGGACTTAGCAAAGCTATTTCCAAGACATCTGGGAAGTAAAATCCCAAAAAAATCATGTTACCCATTCTAAACACAGAAGCAAAATCCATGTTTACAAATTTAGACTATTCATGACATGAACCACCTCTTTTCCCCAGCAGAGTTACCCTGTGTGGACAGGTTTTCCATCTTCAATTTTAAATATATTTGACTCTTGGCAGGACATCCACAAGAAAAGCCAGGAAAGAGTGCAGCAATGAAAACACAAAAGAGGAGGGAAGGGATTAGAAAGTGCTTGCTGACTTGAAAAGCTCTGGTAGGGTTTGAAGGCCAATTCAGTTCCTCGAGTTCAGAATAGTAGCTCCATGATCCATTTGGCTATTTGGATACTGTAACATCAAGTTCTCAAAGGCAACTCAATACAATCTTTTCAGTTAGCATGATTTTGGGTGCAGGTGGAAAAAAAAAACTCCCATAAAACCTTCCAGAGTTTTGACTGATCTCCCAGTTGGCGATTTCCCCTGGACAGTTTTTGAGGGAGGCATGAGTCATCCAGTCAGAATACGCAAATGTCTCTCTTGCAGAAGCAATCTGATTTCCCTCACTACTAAGGGTGAAATGAACAGGATTGTTGAACTTATCTGCGGAAAAGAACAAATTAAGAACAATTAGCACATTCACATACTGTTGCAATTCCACTTAGCATCTTCTCATTGCATTTTAGAGACTGATAAGAATAGAAAACTGGTGATAAAACAGAAATCTGCCTACCAAATAAAAGGACATAGAAGGACACTGAACTTTCAGGAAACCTACAGCTTCTTCCCTGCATAATGATTTTGCCTTTGGCCACTGCCCTCTCTATCAAAGCAGTTCTTCCAGCTGTACAGGAAGGGAAATCAAAGAACATTGCAAGCTATCACTTCACCCATAATGGAGATGTGGGGATTACACCACCCTCCCCATCTCTTCAGACCCTCAAATCCTCAGGTTTGCACTCTAATTTTCATAGACAAAGCACCACTGTGTTGCCACCCTATTGAGTCAGCTTTGCTCAGCATTTGTTTCAGGCCTTCAAAATCTCACCATCCCTATAGCCCACTCCCAAAGAACTGCATAGCAGCTCAACATCATCTCCTTGAACAACACTGGAAACTTAGTAACTTCATACACAGCAGAGCTGGAACAGGAGGAGCTCTGTCTTGGAAAATTGGAGAGAAGCTTGAACTAGAATCAATACTATTTTTATGGTTGCACATAAGCACATAAAAATTTTAGAGGAGTGATATCAAGAACTTTGCCTTCCATCACCTGAAATACCTTTTTAAAAATTCAATTAATATCTTCCTGTTGGACAATAACGACCAACTTCCATTTTTTTGCAGTCGAAGGAACTAATATTAACATGGTAGATGCTGATTATTTTCTGGTACCCTCATAGCATCTCTGGAGACATTATGATGAAGGGCTGCTGCAGACACAGCGCAGCATGCCTAAGTCATTACCTTTATCAGTTCTCACAAAAACTGTCCCCTGTCTCAGTGTCTCTAAGTCTCAATGATTCTGTGCCTATTAGATTTTAGAAGTTCATTTTATCTGTTGACTCAACAATGGTGAGAAAGACTTCTTACCATCAGAATAAAGAAATAGAAAACCCACATCCATCCCAGGTTGTCCTGGATCAGAGACACCAGATACTAAAAGGAAAAAACAAACAAACACATATATGATTTATATCATTAAGATGTACACATTGCCCATCTCTTATCTTTCCCAACTCTGTGGTTTGTCCTTGCTCCACAGAGCTGATCATGAGCTGTCTCTCAATATCCAGTTCCTTACTGCCCAGCATAAAATGATTATTGCTTTAATGGGATAAATGAAGTAGAAATACAAACCTGAGGTTTTCACAAGTTATCCCAGACAGCACAGAGAAGGACTTTTAAATACAGCCCCAAGGAGTGACAAACTGACTAGACTAAACCCACATTACAGTGATGTGAGTAAATTTAAAAAGCCTCAAAGGCCAAAAACTCTGAAGAGACTTAAAGGCTGCATGGGCATGCATTTCAAAACCTGTACAAGCACTTACTAATAGTTAAGCCTCCCAATGTTGATGGGCCAAATTCTGTAAAGACTGATGTCCTACCCATACAAGCTATAAAGTAGAATGTATCCCTTAAATAGGTTTGCTTTCAATACTGTAAGGGGATCTGAATCTCCATAAATGAGAAGCATCAGCACAACACCAGTAATCTCATTTCCAACATTACTCATATTACTTCTGCTTATTCCCCCAGCTTCAGACACACCACAGCCATCTCCATGAAGAAGGCAGAGATTTGAGGTAGGAAAGCAGGTGGAACTTCTCAGAAATAAAACCCCACTTTTTATGATGATGTAATAAAACGTGGATGTGCGTGGAGGTGGGGGAGATGCAGGAAGCAATGGCATACATTGAGAAAATAGTTTCAAATACATGGCATTTTAAAGGCAACTATGAGGTGTTTGCAGCCCTGTAAATGCAGAAAACTAAGAGTCTCTCTCTTCCATGAAATGGACAGAAAGACCATTTACCAGGGGACATTCACAGGAATATTCCTACAAGCACTAATTACAACCTCTAATCCCTTTTGGGAATGGGGATTTGGACTTGGCTCCAGCAGAATCCTTGGTATTTCATGACATTACATGCACTTACTCACTAGCAGGATAGAGTTCCTGTGATGTAACTGGCTTCAGTATTCTGACCAAATGCAAAAACAACCACTTTGTTATTTCATATGAATTACTTTTGTATTTGGGCAACAAATACAATCTTTGGGGCATACCTTGAGCTTTTTTGTAATAGCAAGCTAGTCATCAATGCCTACAACACTATGTGGACTATGAAAGCAAGTAATGCAAGACTTATAGGGTGTAAAGTCTGCCCTCAATAAAGAGCATCAAACACAAACATGACTAAGTAACATTTGTTATAAATATTCTATTTTAAGAGGGATTCATCTTATTAACACAGGGAAACAAGTTTGTTTATGAAAGGCTGTTACCATCTCCTTAAATTTAAAGAACTGAAGAGGCAGCTTGACTTTCTTCCCCAATTTATAGTTTGTTTTCTTCCCCCACTTTTCCCTGCGCAGGTTATGAAAAGTTTCAAAAGCCCATTTACCTTTGAAAGTTCAGAGCCACATTGTTAATGATGAGCTTTGCAGGGAGGGTGGAATCATAGAATCATAGAAGTAGGGTTGGAAGGGACCTTGTAGATCTTCAAGTCCGACCCCCTGCCTGGGCAGGAGAAAAAACTGGGCTCAAATGATCCCAGCTAGGTAGGCATCAAGCCTCCTCTTAAAGACCCCCTGGGTAGAAGCCAGCACCACTTCCCTTGGAAGTTGGTTCCAGATCCTAGCTGCCCTGACTGTGAAGTAGTTCTTACGGATGTCTAATCTAAACCTACTCTCCAACAACTTGTGGCCGTTATTCCTTGATAAAATTGTTGTTTCCATATTTTAAGCAAGACTGACTAAATATCTAAAGCAAGGCTGATGGGAACATTTCAATTAGCACGGAAAGTTTTTAAATGAAATCTGCAGTCAAATGAGACTAACCATGTCTTCATAGCCCAGCTCCTTCCTGCCCCAGTCACTCCCACAGGGAAGTTTAGAAGGCACACGCCTCCTCATTCTGCACCTTCTCTGGTGATTCTCACCTGGCCCACTGCAGCTCCGATGCTACCAGTTCCATCCACAATTCCAGTAACGGTTGCCAGTGCCTCACTACTCCCTCTGACCAGCTCCTGACGTCCCAAGTCCGCAGAAATTGCAGAACTGATCATGTTAGAAGGGCCTCCAATGAAAAAGCCTGAAAACACCACGAGAAAAGCAGCTGATGATAGCACTGTAAGGAAAGCTCCTTCAGCATAGCCCAAAATTTTCCTGCCATGCAACAGGGATTGGAAGAAAGTTCTAACAGGAAGGGGTGGCAGCAAGGTGCAGCATGCATTGCACTGCCCTGCCCTATCCTACACCTGTAGTGCAGTGTTGTGTTGTGTTGTGATACAGCTGGTGTGTACATCTGTGGGAGAAAAGATGATAAAGAGAGGCCCTGGAACTAAGAATGTTTGAAACTAAAGACCCCAATCATGCTGTCTCATCTTGAGGCTGTCACTGTATGGTACCAGAGAAGCTCTCTGGTGTACATCTTTGGAGAGAGGAAGCTTACAGCTTCTCAACAAGGAGAGACTACTAAAAACTTCCCGCTATATCCATTCCACACTGCAGCATGCCAAAATTCTTCAAAAGTAACAGAACTGGGCCTTCCTGTTCACTCCTGTTGCAGCTCAGGCATTTAACAGAGATGGCAGAACACTTCAATATGTTAACAGTTTTAGGACAGCACTATTGTTTCTCTTCCATGAACACTTCTGTTGGGGTGAAAGTGGTAGTTTCATGCCCTACCTGTAACTGCCATGATAACTGCATTTATGGGTTTGCTGTCAGGAGAACCTGTTGCAATAAAGACAGAAAAAAGAAGTGGTTACTATAGATCAGGCTTGTCCAACATGCAGCCCTCCAAGCCATTTTCTAAGGCCCGAGGTGCTGCAACAGGAAATGAAAGTAAACACTGTATTTTCATTTTAGGGGGGTGATGTGATATCGCTTCCTGTGAGGTCTTTGAATATGGCTCACCAGCCCGCTGGGTGATAAAAAGTTCATGATCTGACCCCACATGCAAAAAGGTTGGACACCCCCGCTATAGATTAATGCAGTTAATTAATTTCTTAAGTAACTAATGTCAGAAAGGGTTAGATCTTCTGGTCCAGTGGGAACTAGACCTTTTTGGTATGTGCGCCACAAATTAGCCCTGCATCCTCCCTGACTGCCACTCTTATCCCCTTCCCCTGCCTAATCTGCTGCTCTGCTTTCTGCTCCCTGACCTCTGATCCCTGCCCAATCTGCTGCTCTTTTTGCTCTCTGCTCTATCTGTTGCTGCGCTACCTGTCCATTCCTTGATCTGCTGCATGCCACACACAGAGGCTGCCCACGCCACTTGTGGCATCTGCGTCGCAGGTTGGTTACCCCCATTCTAGTCTGACTGTCTGTATATCAGAGCCAATAGTTTTCTCCTAAGTTATGCTTGTATTAAGAGCAGTAACTTGACTAAAGCATAGCTTCTAAAAAGGTATTCAGCCTTGATGCTAGAACATCAAAAGATTCAGAATCCATCACTTCCTCTGGGTACTTTGTTCCAGTAGTTAATTACCTTCACTGTTAGAAATCTGTATCCCGATTCCCTTTTGAATTGGTCTTGTTCCAGGCTTAACAAGTAATAGTTTTCTCCACAAGGTTAAATAAAACTTTTGTACCAAGGATTTTCTCTCCATAAAGATCTTTATACATTTTAATCAAGTCACCCATCTTCTTTTTAATACAACTAAGGAGATAGAAACTTGTCTCTCATCTCAAGGCATTATTTTCAGCTCAGTTTTTTTGTGGCTCTTTTCTTCTACCCTAGCCAAATTTTTCGAGATCAAAATGTGGACACCAAAACTGGCTGCAGCATTCCAGGAATAGTTTAACTAACATGGAGAAGGTAAAAAAAAAAAAAGTCACCTCCCTAATCCTATTTGCTATTCCGATTTACACATCTAAGGACTGCACTGGCTGCTCTGGTCACAGCATCACTTGTAGCTCAGCCTGCCTCCTGTCTGGGAGCTAGCACAAAGAGCTGGCACAGAGGTGCCTCAGCATGGTCCTGCCTTGTACCATAGTCAGATCCTAGCAGCTTCTGCCTTCTCATCTTGGGTCTTCTCAGGGTCTCAGCATCCCCTACCTACCACTGTCTTGTCTTGCTTTATGGGCTGCAATTCTTGCATATTAACAATGCAAAAAAATACCAAAGGGACAGATGTAATGCTTATGCCCTCACCGACCCCATTACACCTCCAATGAAGACCGAACTCGCTGCCTTTGAACATCCAAGAGACACGCTATGCAATATCAAACTACTCAATCCGCTCGTAGTCCCCCCTCTCCCCACCACCCACCTCACATTAACAAGAATGAGAGAATGGACCTCCTCCTTGCCGCCATGTTTACATAGCACAGAATCATATTAAAATAAGGCTGGAACAGACATTAGGGGATCATCTAGTCCAACCCCCTGTTCAAGGCAGGATCATCCTTGACAAAACCCACCCTAGACCAATCTTTGTTTAACCTGCATTTGGAAACTTCCAATAACAGAGACTCCCTAAACTCCCTAAGTAATATTTTCAAGTACCTAACTAACCTCCTTCATAGTTAGGAAGCTATACCTAAAACTCTCTTGTAATTTAAGCCAATTTCTTGTCCTGTCCTTTTTTGGGCATAGAGAACAACTGATTGTTATAAAAAGGAGGACAATCCTTTTTGAATTGGAAGACTGAGGCAGAAATTTAGTCTTCTCTTCTCTAGACTAAACAACCGTAATTAATTCTTCCAACGTTCCTTTGCGTCATGTTTGCCTCCACATATTTTCTTACTTCTTCACATTTACCTCGAAATGTTGTACACAAAACTGAACTCCAAGTGAGACCTGTCCATTGCCAAAGTGAAATAATCACTTCCTGTGGCCTGCATACAGCATGTCTGTTAACACATCCCATTGTGCTACTAAATTTTTCTGCAACGTTATTGTTGACTCATGTTTAGCTTGTGATTCACTACAGCCCCTAGTCCTTTTTTGTTTGTTTGCTTTTCTTTCTTTCTTTTTTTGCACTATTACAGTCCTACCATTTGTTCATTACTTTGTAGGGGTGCACTGAGCTATTCTGGGGGCCCGATACCAATAGCTGATTTTTAAGGTGTATCAGCTGATACTAATCCAATTTCTGATCCAGCTGCATCCAGCTGGTAAGTCTGTTGTGGTAGAAAGGAAGGGGGGAGGGAAGGGGTGTGATGGGGCAGATCAATTCCCT